GATTGATTCAATCATTAACACCACCAAAGGAATAAAATTAATTATTTTGCAATAAAAGCTATTTGTTTGTTTATTTGCTGTTTTTTGAATATTATGCATTTCTATATATATAATAAAAAAAATTTTGATATTTTTTGTCCCACAAAGTGATATAATCTAGGTTCTATATAGCAATCCATCTATAACCCAAATCTATAATTCAAGCTATTTTTTTTGGTCAATGGCATTGTTGTTAAACACTAACTGACCTTTGCAGGTGAAGAGAGAATACAACAAGCTCGCTAACGAAACCATAACCGGAAAGAGTTTGCTTGACAATACAAGTCCCATGATCATTCACCTACGAAATATGTATCGCCCATGAAACTTAATCACAAGGTTTATCGGATTTTCCGAAACATCCTTCCGATATTCCGAAACCAAATATTTAGTCGTGTGACATGTCCTAAAAATCAAGGGGCAGGTTTATTTTCCGAAAAATTTCCGGTGATCTACACAATTTTTTTATTAATAAAATTTCGAATTGCGTAATCAAATATTTAATATCAAATGTTGCAATGTTACAACATACCCGTAACTTTACATAGTATACATAGTGTTGCAACATAAACACGATGCAGTTAGATCACTTTTAAAAACATCATTATTTTTGTAAACATAAACACAAAAAATTTGAATTCGTTTATCTATTCATCGTCTAATTGCGGTAAATAAGCATGTGGATCTCCATTTTCGTCTATATCGCTTTTCTTGAAGGTGGTTGGTATCAATGTCTTCATACCCTCGTTTGATACCCTTGTCGTGTAGCAATTGCCACCAATTCTTTATCTGCTTTAAAAATTTTTTTGAAGCAAGTTGTTAATAAAACCGAAAATAATCTCAGCCTTAAGGTCAACTTTTGACTTTATATTCATATATGTAAAAATTTGTTAGTGCATGCAAAGGTAAACTAAATGTTATAAATATTTACGGAATCATGCTCACTTTGTATGTCTTTATACTATCATTTATAAAGTATGGTTTATACTAATATATTAAATTTTAATTATGACCAAACATTTTACAGGAAAACTTTATTATGGTGTGAAAAATGATCAATTTTTTATAATAATAATATTGGATATAAGGAGTTAGTTAGAGTTGATAGAATTAAACCAGATACAAGAATTACAGGTGGAGAGCATTGTTGATATTTGATTAATAGAATTTATTAAAACTTGTAAATACGAGTTTATTTAATAGATTTGATGAATAATAACAATTGAAATGTCAAAGACTAACTAATCTCAATTCATGAATCCCTGGAAGAAAGTATTGGATCAATACTATATATACAGTCAAATCTTGTTCCAATGAATCTATGAGGACACAAGAAAATTGCATCTAAAATTCATTATACCAAATTACAGTAACGCGATTGCAACAAATTTAATTATAATTCATGATGACGCGTTTCAACAGATTTAATTATAAATCATTGTATGTTTGCTGGCTTAGATTCTCATTGGCTGTGTATGTAAAATTTTAATTATTAAAAAAATAAATACTATTATCTTCATTTTCACTAATAAATTTAAATAGATATTATATTTTTTTTTACATGAGAAACAAAAATTAATGAATAAAACAATCACTAATAAATAAATACCTTTTAATTTATGATAACTAATTTGATTGTTCCATAACAATAATCCTTTCTGATCATACTAAAAGTAATTAATGATTAATTGCAGGAATAAAACTTTATAATGTTGAATTTTCTATCTATTTTCTAAAAATAAATAATAAAATAAATATGACTGCGTAACAATACTTTCTGATTGTACACCGCCAGATCTAAAAAGAATAATTAATAATTAATAGTATAAATGCTTCATTCACCCATTGTCTCTGATTTTTACCTTCCTAATCTTGCGGGATATCAAGGGTCTTATTTTTGAATAAACCAATGTACTTTAACGGGTTATTTGGAACATTGTCAGTACCTCTAATTCCTTTATTTATCCTGTAGTAAAAACATTGCTTCGAATATAGGAATAAAAACAAAAAAGTAAATTCAAATGCAAATTTCATAACTAACAAAATACTGCTTATATAACACACATTTTCAGATTGAGAAACGATTTTGATCTCGTGGATCTCTCGTGCTGAATCCAGTAAAGGAATTAAATGCGACAAGTTTTTATTTTTCCTTAAATACCCAAGTAGTGGATCATATCTACAAAATCAGGCAAATCAATATTTATGGATGTTAATAGATATAGAAACAATGCAACTAATGAGTGATTTATTTTTATTTAAAGGTCATTGGATCCAAAGATATCTAATTAATGGTGAAAGTTAAAAATAATACAGGAATTTGGGAAAATTTTCATGCTTGTCAAAAATAGTATGTGGCATCTGATGAAGTTTTCAAAGAAATAGACGTGTAATGGACTTGTGATGAATGTATATATGTATTGTTGCTTTTTACCAATGCAACATTTGTTTATTTACATAAAAACCAAAAAAAAAATTCTTTTTGTTCACGATATAACGTTTTCTTCAATTTAAAACTTTTAACCTTTTTTTAATTTTAGAATTTTACTTTCTAATTAATTATCATTTATTTTCTATAACGACATTATGCAAAAACTTGATTTCCTTCCCATCTTGCGTTATCCTGTTTTTTTTTTTTCATCAAAGATTTTATTATCTTTTCAGTGTTCATTCTTTCTTTATTTCCAGTCCTTAATTAAAATTTTTTTTAAAAGACTCGTAGGGAATGATGATCTTGGGGGTATAATTTTACATCATAACCTTTCTTGGACTATTGTTATTTATCCTTTACTGCTGTTACTAGTTGTCTCAAGGGTATAATTTTACATCATTTGCTTTTTATCTCTGAAGCTTGTGTCTAGGCTTCTTTAGTCATGTGTAGTTGATTATATAATGTATGATAAAAATATATGGTTTCAATAATAATTACATTTCATTTCATTGATTTCCACTTGGACTTTGAAACATGTTTTGTTTGGATATTATCTCTTAAAACTTTTACATACTGGTATTGATGTTGCATGCACAAGCTATACAAAAAACTTTAGTTTATCAAAAGGGTATTTGGTCTCATAGGTTTCAGATTTAATAAAAAATTTCCTTTCACAAACAAGCAAGCACCTGGCAATTGCACGCCTCATATCTATAAAGAATTTTCTACAGGCGAGGCCAATTAAACAGGTTGGAGGTCATTGAGGCTTTAATACTCTTTTTGACAACAATGCAATTCAATAAACTTTAGTGCCTGAAAATTTTAATTGATCACTATCATCAGGAAAACGTTGGTCTAATGTGCACAAGGAAGGTGAGATGTTTTAAATATTGAGCTTTGAGGATACACTTTAACGTCTGTAAATAAATTTCCAGATTGTCTAAAAGCAGTTTTCCATGTGTGTGTGTGATCTTCAATAACCTTTGACACTTTTTATAATTATACAAAAAAAATTATGCCTCACTCCACGTTTTGATTTCTGTTCCCTATATATAGGGTATTCGGGCTATTTTATATAAATAAAAATAAGTTTATTAATACAAAAAAAATCACTAGCTATTAAGAACTAATAATAAGTGGTCCAAAAAAAAAAAAAATATGATGTGAGCCACATCAAAAAAGTAAAGGTTTTGTTTGCCAAGATCCTTCTCATTCATTAATTAATTGAAAAAAAGTAATTGTTTGCTAATATTTCCTTCATTAATTGATTAAAAAGGAAAATATAACGATTTATCTTGGTATAATAGATAATAATGCATTTTTTGTCTTTGTGACAAAAAAAAAGGATACATATTAATTTTTTCTTATTCTTGTAAATAATTATTAAATTCGTGTTGGTTTCAACACAGAAGAAGATAGCAGAGAAAATCAAGCACAAGTTAAAAGACTAGCAAGAGAAAAAACGGAAGGTTATCAGGTGTTATTGAAAGCAGAAAGGTTTTACAACCTTGAAAAAAAATTGAACATTTGCAATTTAACATCTCTCGAAAATAGAAATTACTTCCCTGAAATCAAGTTTAACAAAGTTTATTTTTAACATCTCCTCAACATCAACATCAACATGCCATGTTGGCTTCCCTTCCCGCATGATCAGTAGAGAATATTTATCACAACTTTGTGAAACTGCAAATTTCTTTTTAATTACGTCAAAAAAATCATTTAAAAAACCAATTTTTCGAAACTACTCACGATCGTTGATCAAATGAATTATGCTAATCGCCCGACAGTCTGTGCGACAAATAATGCTCACTTAAAAGTTGTTACAAATTATTTTACCAGTTAGGAGATTAATATCTTTTAGTCTATGGGATGGGATTATCATCCCAGGTATAGGTGCGAGTGCGAGTTTGGGACCTTATTTGGTACCCTTCGCGTGTGCTCTCGCTGGAGGTTGCATTGCTCCTTGGTTAGACGAAGAAAACAAGATATATGATCTTAACTGGTGGAAGAATGTGAATTTAGCTGGTAATGCGATTAATTTTGGTGCAAATGCTATCGAAGCAGGATTTATTTGGAATAATCGTACTAGGATATCTAAACTGGAAGAGGAATTAATGAATAGGCATTATTGCGGAATTAATAGGGATGAAAACAGTGAAGATGCAAAAATCTTGAAAGTGAGGGTTGATGTTCTTGAAAAAGAAATAATAAATTAAAAGAATATATTTTTACTATGAATAAAAGAATGTCTAATTTAGATGAGGAACTAAGGTCGCAGGATTAAGAGGGCTTCTCTTAGAAGAAGAGATGTATGTTATTTCTTTTCCCGAGGAAACAAGTTGTTTTGCAAAGAAGAAAAATATAATATTCATTTCGCTATAAATTTATTCATTGTATGTTTCATCTTTTTATTTTATAATTAAAGAAAGATATTTTGAATCGGAGGTTTTTTTAACGATGCTGACGGAAATACCATTTGTGGTATAACATCACTCCGATGAGAACTCCTTATTAATAGAATATTGATTGATGTTATATTATTTTCAACATCCGACTTGACATATAAAATATACCCGAGAAATTTCTTCAGAGTATATACTAACTCTATTCTACCATATTGAAATATCAAATATAAACTGGTTCTTTTAAACTTAGAATTATTCCCACAGTTCTAATCACCCACTGAGGGTTACTATTTGAGGTATAACTACTACCATCTTAAACACTCCGCTAGTGATCTCCCATTACTTCTGGGTGAGTTGGTATTTAAAATTAGCTTGGTTCTTGAAAATAACTTAGCTTGAAGAGAAAAAGATAGGTTCAATGATACATATTTCTCTTTCCAGATTCCCGAGAAGATCAGCACTAAGAAGCGTGGGAGAATTGGGCCCAGCGATGTTCATTGCAAAATAGTGAACTGCGTTCATGTCATTTACCAAACTATTAAAAAAAGCGAGTTCTTCATATAGATAGATGTATAGCTTGGAAAAATTTCCTTGATTATTATATTGCGGTGAGGGCTTAAATTATGTGCAAAACAAATGTTTAATATGAATATCTTTTAAAAAATGCAATTTTGTATTGCGTTACTAATTTTCTAGCTTTATATTTTGTAAAATCACTACACTTCCAAATCCAAACTTAAAATCATTGAAATCATTTTGATTTTTGAAATACGAGTCCAAATTTAGAAATAATCAATAATAGTTCATTTGCCAAATTCTTCTTGAACCTCTTGAACCATAGTAAAACGCGACTAAAAAAGAATATATATTAATATAGTGCAAGTCACTTAGTCTGTGCCACGCCGCCAATTTTGAGAAATCAAAAATGCAATAAAAATTTTACAGTCACATGATTTTTGAAAATTGTCAAATATATTAAAATTTTTCTTTTACATTTATTCCTATATATACATATGTAAATGATGATTTGAACAATAAACAACAACAATGATGATTATAGTGATGTTATATAAATATTAGTTAAAATAAAAGAGAAATTTATATAACTATTGAATGATTGATAAAACCTTTGTTAGTATATTTTGTTCGTAGATCTTGCTTGTCCTTAAAGCTTACTCCTACACAAACTATTAAATAATTGATAAACGTTCATTAGAATATTTTGCAAATTGCATATTTCTTTGATTAATGCAATAGTCTATTTATTGGATTTAAAATAAATGAACTTTGTATTTTTTTTTTTTTTAATAATAAAGGTAATTCTCTTCCCGTTCATCTTGAAAATTCACGTGACAAAAGATCTGCAATATAAGAGAAATTTTTCAAATTTTTATTTTGTTTCAATTCATCTATTTTTGATATTAACTTTTTTGCGTGTAACACGTCATTTTAGGGCTAAACATAGCAAATCCAGCAAACTTGTGCAACTTTGAAGCTCAAATTCTCCATAACAACATGACATATCAATGAGATGGAATCGTGATTTTGTAGAGGAAGGTCTTGGCTTCAAATACACGATTTATTTTGGGGTGTTGCATTTCCCCATTTTTGGAGAATTTGAAAATCTACACAACCAATAAAGGGTTGTAGGACTAAGTGATTTGCATCATATCAATATTAATATAGAAAATAATTTGAAAGGACATGTCACACAACTGATATTAATATACTAACCCCGAATCCGAAAGTCCGATTATTTCCAAATTCGAAGTTAAAGCCGGAACCATGTGATAAATTTCTGACCAATAGTATTTTTATAGAGATCAATTGAATTTAAAAATAAATTTCGAATTTTAAACCAATGATTAGAAAGAGAGTAATTGAAATGGGTTGATTTAACGTAAACAAATACACAATATCCTATGCTTCCTTTTTAGTCATTAAAATACATTAATTAATTTACCTATTATTGACTAATTTTTTTTCAAACCCTCCTCACTAAATATTTTTTTCCTTTTCTTTTAATTAGATTAATTCATAAAAATATATTTTATTTAATTCATACATCCTTGTTGCTGGCCATCAAGAAATTTTAGATTTTTTTTTTTTAAAGGAAAATTATATTCGCACTTTCTTTTTACATAAATATTTCTTTACTACATTAACATTCATCTATTGAACATACACATTTTACCATTTCACACCATTCGTAATATAACCATTATCATTGTCATCTAATATTTCGTAAAAAAAAACTTATAACATAAAATGTTTGGAAGGAACAAACGTCAGCCATACAAGGCAATCAGCAAACAAATTTTAGCTTCTTTTGCCGTGATAGAATTATTCTATCTCGCACAAGGTGTTCTTATCCTTGTATTTGGCGCTTTGTGGTTTAACACAATTGAAGCAAATTTACGTAGTCTTGTAGTAACAAAAAATTTACTCATAGGTGAAGAAAAAAATTTTTTTTGTACATTTTAATTTAATAACATATTTATCATCATCATTAAATTCATTCATTATTATTAAATTAATTATTATAGCTGCATTTTGTGCTGGAGGTCTTATTATAATTTCATTTCTTATCGCTAGTATTGGCTTCTTTAATCCAATAAAACGTAAAAAATTTTTATATGTACATACATTTTTAATCGTTATATCCAGTTTTGCTTTACTGGCATTGGGTGCAAATGTTTGGTTTAAAACTTTGGATGAAAGAGATCAATTCAACGATAAATGGAAAGGTTGGAGTCAAAATACACGAGCTTATTTCCAAAATGAGGTATTTTATATTGCATTACATACATACATGCATCTGTAATCATTAAAATATATTTACTAATAAATAAATAAATCTTTTTTAAATAGTTAAATTGTTGTGGATATAATAATTCAACAGATTTACCAGTTTTAGATAAATGTCCAAATGATATAGTCAAGCCGCCTGGTTGTATTGATGCTATAACACAGACAGCTGACAGATCATCACGTCAACTATTCACATCTTTATTCGGTTTCATTATAATTGATATATTTGCCTTCTTCTCCACCGTTATACTCATACAATCAAGAAATGTGGAAGAACGTTATATGAAAATCGATGAAAAATATGGAAATTCAGGTGATCAAGCATTAAATAGACAATATGTGTGATCGTTCATTCATCTATTTAATTAGAATTTGAAATAATAATAAAATAATATTAATAATATTAATAATATTAATAATAATAATAATTGTAATTATAATTATAATTATATCACATAATTATCATAGTAATTATTAGAATTTTCATGATAAATTTGTAATTTTTCTCCTTTATCTTTTTCTTATATATAATTTTTTCTTTCATATAAAAAGTTTTCTTTTCACAAAAAATTGAAATTAAACAAATTACTTTTGCACCATCTAATTAATTATATTTGCTGTTCATATTCAAAGTTCTCAAAAAAAAAGCTTTTATTTGAAATTAATTATTTGTTGTTGAAATTTTGATTTTAATAACATTGTTAATATCAATAATAATAAATCTAACTCTAGAGGCAAGTTTTGCATATGTAATAATTATGTTTACTTTTTTTTTTTTGCATAATTGAGAATTTTTGTTAAACTCTGTTTTATGCCCATTTGGTGTTAAAACTACATTCATCTTTTTTGTTCTTGATATGCCCAAGCAATAAGTTCAAAACAACTGCTACCAACAACCAAACTTCCATTATGACATCCGTTATAAGAATAAATTGGATGTGATTTACATTACATGTGTAAAACCAAACATTTGTGATGCATTCGGGACAAAGTTCAGTTAGTTTCTTGATCAAGTATTTTCGTAGCGAAAATATAATTTTGACTTTATTTATAATAATTATAACAATTAAAGATCTGAATTTTTAAATTCTGAAAATTGACTTTACTAATGAATATTAAAAAATCGTTTATCCTCTACAAAATCAGGTTTAACATCCTCTTCCCCTCTCTTGAAAAGATACCTTGCCGCTCCAATTGGTGTAAGCTGACCACTAGGAAGATAAGTACGATAGGAAGATGGAATGCAAAAGGCATTGGGGTGTAAAGTTTCGATAGCATCACGTACACTGTAAAGTTCTTCCATATCTCGGAAGTGAAAAATACAAGATGAATTTTTATCCCTACGCTGATTTGCACGATGGATGTTAACTGTTGCAAAAGCATCCATAACCAAATTGTATGCATTCTGTCCATGTTGATCGACCCATTGAGGATTTGGGATTATGATTAAAACGGGGTCACCCTCTTCAACATCAGAAAGTTGTTTCATATATTTGTGAATTTCACTTTTAGATGCTTTTGGAAAAATAGTTCCGAGAGCTTAAAAAAATATAGATCTTATTTAGATTCTATTATAGAAGTGATTAGTGATTAAGAAGAAACAATTCTTTTTTCTACTAACCTTTTTCCAATTCTAGTTCTTGAATACCATATAACAAATACCACAAAAAAACATATTTTTTTTGATAATATAAAATCTGATGTGATTTACATTACATGTGTAAAACCAAACATTTGTGATGCATTCGGGACAAAGTTCATTGATCAAGTATTCTCATAATGAAAATATAATTTTGACTTT